GATGTGGCAAAGCCTTAAAATCAATGAAATTTGAAGGGCACACACATTTATGTATAATATTATAATGACGAGAAGGAGATCTGCTAAACTATGCTTTCCCTTATTGACTTCAAATATTAAGTGAAATTATCCTTGTGAAACTCATTAAGGATTCTTTTAGAAATTCTAGCAAGAAAATTATTTAGTTGAGTAGCTCTTAAACTATTAAAGTTTGCTCGATCCAAAGAAGAAAGTATCATGGACAATTTCTCGATCCAAAGGAAAGAATATCATGGACAATTTGAAGTATTACTTACACTAAGTGTCAACCACCATGCCAAATTTATTTTGCATTCAAAGACAAAATGAAGCAGTGATATCAAAGCAAAGATGGACCTTCATAGACCAGATGCTGTTTTATTTGTGGATAGACTAATGATCTAGTTCCAAACACAATCTCTCTAATGCTTGACATTCTTTTAGGCCCAACAAAAATAAAACATCACTTTCTAAGTCTTCCTAGAAATCTACTCATTGGACAGTAAACATGTTATTATAGTTTTTTATATTGATTCCTTTGCATGTTGCATACCCTAAGGCAAACTCGCTCAAGTAGAAAGCATAGAGGAGCAATCGACAATGCTTTGGGCTCAAAAAAACTTTCCAAGCTGAGTTCATGATAGATTCACCAATTGGGCCTCAGGACCACTCACCTAGCTGTTTCAAGGCATTCACACCCTAGTGTCAAGATGGATTCTTGACTAAGAAGGGGAACATTCACAATTTATGAATAGCTCACACAAAACTAATTGGAGATTCACAGATCAACTTGATCCAATAACCACATAGGCCTAGAAAGCTACCCGACCTTCACTATTAGGAAAACCAATTTATTTCCTAAGCTTGATAGCAAACCATCATTATGAGTCTGAGCTCTAGTTTGGTTATACACCTCTTATATTTTGATTAGTGCATTTTACATATATGGCCTATCTTGTGGCTTTTTGGTGGCACACAAGACCCCATGTATTTATTTGTAAATAAGGGATTTTGGGGAGCCCTAGAGCTTTACATTCCTCTTGTATTATAGCTTCTTCAGCTTCAAAGTAACTTTCCCCCTACTTTCTACTTATCCATGTTTCCCTTTCTCGCTTCTTCTATATTACTAGGCTTTTGGCATAAACCAAAATTAAAATGGGATCCAACATCTCAAAATATGTAGGGAGCATAACTCTATGCCAAGAACTAGAAAAGAAACGCACAGTTTTATAGAAGGTGTCGGAAAAAAAAAAAAAAAAAAGAGATTATTGCAATAGAAACTTCTGTTAACATGAAGAAGTAGAATTTTATAACAAATCGACAATTGATTGACATGGATGAGAGACTCACCAGATTGCTACAATATGTTATGGACCAAATTGTCAGAACTACACTTAGATTACAACATCTTGAAGAATCTACTCAATCAGTGGCTTCTAGGGTGGAGAGCACTGGAGTCTCAGGATTGAGGCTTGCATTGGACTTAGATCAAAGAAAGAGGAGTTGAACAAAGTAGCATGAAAGAGTCTTTAACTAACAAACGATCTCTCCAAATAATTGTCCAAATTAGGCCGCAACCTAAGCTTAAGATTCCTCATTTGGACTCCTAAAGAGGCCGAATTGACACAACAAATAACATAACAGATTTTTAATTTGTTGTCTCTACTTCATGGAGCTGTCATTAAAATAATTTTTCAGCTTGCCACTTGGGACTATTACATAATTTGCCTAGTTCCAAAGTTTGTTCATGACTTAATTCACTGGAGCCCTATTTAAAGAACTTACAAGATTTGTTGAAGTGCGGTAGGAACTTGATGAGTTGCTGAAGTGATTCATGAAAGGTTTTGAAGAGAGGCCATTACTTGAACCGCCCTCACTCAAGGTCTCGTCGAGAAACTCTTTCTCTATCCACTTAGCTTGCAACAATTGAATAATCTGACTAAGTTGCTTGAACTCACTAATTGTTATGTGAATGTAGAAGAATAAAACAATTTAATGGATGCATCATCTTCGAGTTGAGAAGAATGAATAAGGTAGTTGACATAGCCACCTAATGAGTAGCATTGTCTCCTAAAACTCTCGAGACTTGAAACTTTTCATTTTGACCTATGCAACAATCTCATCACCCTCATTAATTATCAGGTTGGATGAAACCAATTTAAATGGTGCCGCGGCTGTAAGAGTAGGGAGATCGTACCACATCCCAATCAAATTCCTTAGGTACAAGAGGTAAAACACAACAGGACAATTCAGTTAGACATAATTTTAACTTACACTCATTTTGATTTGTATTTATCATGATCACGTAAGTAAATAATTAGCATTTCTTATTGGTTATCAAGCAAACTTTAAAATTTTAACTCTATTAATATTCATAGAATATAACTATGAAAATTTGCATAAAATAATTTTCAACTAAAATATAGAGCTTTTAAAAATATTTTAGATATATAATCTATGTATTAAAATATCTTTACTTAAGATACTAATGCCTTCTATAAACACATAAAACTGTATGATCAAAAGCTGCACAAATGGACATGTCACTTGACTAATGATCAAACTGCTCCTTTCCCCTCCCTAAAAAAGAAAAAAAAAAAACGTAGGAGACCTCATGGCATGCCAACTATTTATTACAGTTGCTTTTCTGGATCCCCTCACATTCATATTTTTATCCTATGAGCATGCTCTGCATGCATTTATTCTACTTTAATTTTATTTTTATTTTTAAGATTATTAATCCTAGAAATATCATAAGATATTTGTATATGATTTGACACATTTATATCATTAGGTCATTACGTAGCCCATCAATCATAATAATTGGTAATATGGTTGTTAGACCGACACCGAGCCTGCCAAAGAATTTGAAGATTTATGTTAGGTGCAAGGCTAAAAGGGTAGTTTAGTCATTTGGTAATTATTATTTTGGAGTATAAATTGGGCTTATTATGCTTTGGGGTACGTTATGTTATGAGTTTGTTATCTTGAATTTTAGGGTTAGTGTTTGGGAGAGATAGTCTCTCTCGAATTGTAGGTGTTAGGATTAGTGTTTGGGAAATATCTCTTATTTCTTAAATTATAGGTGCTTATCTTTATGTATTTGGGTTGAGTTATTATGTCTTAGTGAAATTAAATATTATGTTTGTCCTAATTTATGTGGAAAACTCCTCCGGTTCCTATTAAATTGGCTTCAAAACATTCAATTCTGGCAAGAAAAGGGTGGGATTGCCGTAGCTGGGAGATGATTGCGGGATTGCTGTAGCTAGGAGCTAACGATGAGATCATATAGGTTTTAAATCAGAGAAGGGATCAGGCTTGTCCTAGGATCGGGCATGCCATAGTGACCTAACCTCGCGATCCGGGAAGCAAGTGATCTTGAAATTATAGATATGTAAAATTAATAAAGTTGACTACACTTTGCATTGATGCCAAAAACTTATTCGTTATTTATGAATAAGAAATTGAAACAATTTATAATGAGATTCTACGCAAGTATACATATCGTTATCAAGTAATACAAAATTTTTTGTTTTAGCCCTAAATATTGATCCCACGAGGAAGGTGTAAATTTGTAATGAAAATTTAAATCAGGAAATTCATAACAATAAAGAAAATCTACTACACTAATTTCAAATGTTTAGGGTGCTATCAAAACTAAATTACCAACTACTAGCGAAACTGTAAAACAAAGTTAAACAATAACTACCAAACTATATTTTTGTTAAGAAGTTATCCAATATGAGAAAACATCTTTTCCACTAAAATGAGTTTTTGGTTAAATGAGAGAGAATATATATTGCTTGTTGTTGATTATATGTCCAAATGGATTGAAGCTATTGTTGTACCTAAATGTGATGCTCGAAGTGTTTCAAAATTTTTAAATAAAAACATTTTTACAATATATGGAATGCTGAGAGTAATTATTATGGATGGAGGATCTCATTTTAGGGATAAGAGGATCAAGAAATCGATTAGAAAATATAACATTATACATAGAGTTAGATTATACATTTTAACTTAAACTAGCGGTCTAGCAGAGATATCAAATCGTGAAATAAAGTGAATTTTAGAAAAAGTTATGAATCCTGATAAATTAAATTTGATCTGTTAGATTATTGGAATGTTCCCATATAGACTTATTTTTGGTAAAACATACCAGTAGAGTTGGAACATAAAACATTTTGGGCTATTAAGAAATTCAATTTTAATCTAAATGATACTGGTGAGAAAAGATTATTGCAACTCAATGAACTTGAGGATATTAGAAATGAAAATTATGATAATACACAAATTTATAAAGAGAATGAAAATATGATATGATCGGAGGATTATAAAAAAGAAATTCAAACCTGGACAATAAGTTATATTATATAATACTAGATTGAGATTATTTTCAGGAAAACTGAAATCTAGATGGTTAGGACCATTCAATGTGATCAAAGTC